TTTAACTCAACCTTTTACCAGATGGCCACTAATTGTGAGTTCCTCATTTTCTACATGCCCGTCTTGAGACGGCCAGGGCCAGATTTGCAGCAGGGCTGAGTACTCCCAACTGGAGTTGTGCTTTGAACGTAAAGAAGTACTATCAAAATGCTTGGCACTCTGAAATTCAAGCTAAGTGTCTCAAGCTGGGCACCAAAATTAGTGGGCACTGCTGACAATTTTGTCTTCAATCGCTCTGTGCCTCAATTTCCCATCCGAGGCATAATAATACCATCTTACCTCACAGGGGTGCTTTGAAGATAATTTCATCGATGTCCATGAAGCACTCAGATACTATGGTAAGAACAGCACAGATACACCAGGAGGAAATTAATCATTTTGTATTCAGGTCGGGATTGGATTGTGTGCATTAAATAAGCTGTGAGCCCACACACTGAATGGGGATGATAAAAAAATATATTGAATAAATACTCATTCACTGAATGAGGCCAGGGGCCTGTGGAAAAAATAGCATGTGATCATGTAAGTAAACACTGTAATGTGCCCAAGGAGAGTGGGGGCATATTAAGGTTGCACAGGCAATCTTATGTCTGGCATTTTCTAATTTATGAGTGCCTGGCTTTGCAACCTCAATGTTCTTATAATGTACGAATGTTAAATGTTGCCTAATACACATTTGCTGCCTTCAGCCATTTCAACCTCTTAAGCTGGATCTCTTGCTGATACTAACTTCTGCTCTGGTTATCTCTTCTGTAATTCATGCTCCCATAGCTTCTCTTCAGGGAATACACAAAGGGAAGTTTGTTTGGGAGTTGACAGGTTCATAAACTACTCCATGCATGATTAACAGGCCTTCTGAGCTCCTTTTGAAAATGAGAGCCACCTAGTGGATACAAGCCTGAATGACAGACAAAGCTAACAGGTCTAAAGTCACCCCATGCTTCAGAAGTGATACTATAAACTGCCATTGCACAGGGAGGAAGGTGAAACTGTTTAAGCATTACAATGAATGATTATTAATTATTACATCTATCGCTGTAGTGCCCAAAGACCCCAATCAAGATTGTGGCTTTGTACAAATACAAAGGTTAATTAAAGTGGTTATATTTTCAAAATAAAATACTGGGTGTTTTTACAACATCATATTTTAGGGTTATAAAATATTTCTACAACAGGCAAAAGTGCATGATTTTGCTTTAAATATGTGCTGGTCTTGATACTGCCTGTTCTGATTTAACAGCAAATATGACAAATGTGGACATATTTGTCTGAGTGGAGGATTTTTTCCAGTGTCTGAATAAGTTTATCATGAAACACTGAACAAGTGCCATTAACATTTATTCTGAGAAAACGAACAGTTCTGATACCGTATATGCCTGTTTGACTTTTCTTTTCACTTGAATCAGTGTTCAGCTGGAATGACTATTCCTCATATGCTCAGAGCAAATTCCATTCAGTGATGTAGGGTGTCTGGAACTTACATCTTGCAATAAGAAGAAAATAATCATGAATGTTTTGGCTGATGAAATGAAAATCTGGGACATGTCAGGCACCCTGAAAAATTCATCAAATGAAAAAATATGACGGTCCTAGTAAAGTCAGGATGTATACTGTGTCTGAGAGGTAACCCTTGCATTGAAAATATAGGTGATCAAGAATGTCATCCACATATTCCAAAATCTGCATGCAAATGGTGGTCATTTGTGAGCACATTGATTCAATTTGTGTGCAGTCCCAGTAATTGCACATGCAAATAAGATGAGTAATTGCACATTCAATCAGCACTAACCAAGTCCAACCCTGCTTAGCTTGAGAGATGTGATTTGATACCCAAAGTAGAATCGCTGCAGGCCATTTATGAAAACCCGATATTGCTTGTTGATGGGGACCATACATAATCAAATCTATTTTGTAATTTTCCTACTGTAATTGAATTGGGATTTGAGAACAATAGGCCAGTTAAAATATTTTTCTTAACCCAGTATTGCCATGGAATAATTTTAAACAATTTGCCTTGATGTTTCAACAACCTCCTATTGTGACGTCACCTGCTATCATTGAATTTAAGTGCCTGGGGAATGTTCCATTTTTTCTGTGTGTTTTTAAATGTAAGGTGATATGAGCTCAGAGCTAAGGACTGAAGAGTTGTGCTGTATAGAGGGGAGAGCATAAATAATAGGTAACAAATTTGTACCATTCAGCTCCCTGTGAATCCAACCAGAAGTTACACGGCTTGTATCAGGAAAGTGGGACTGAGTTAATGAAGGCAGAAGCTTCATCATAAACATTGAAATTGGGTATTAGAACCAGCTGATGATTGAGAGAAATTTCCCCAAATAACAGACAATAACCTAAGCTCTCCCCAGAGAAAAACATGCAACAGTGTATTTCTCAGTTGGACTGATGACGTTGGTATTCCAACTGGGAGGGTGACTAGAACCCCAAATACAGGAACAATACATATATGTAGCCACCTTGCACTGGCATCTCATCACATCTCACAACCTAATACAGCTATGTAGCTGACTATCCTGCAAAGTGAGAGAAGCAGGTGGAGCAACTATTCATGATCACTTGATTACCTGCCCTTCAGATTACTTTACAATTGATATTTTGTATGTAAATACTGTGATATGGAAAGGGGCCAGTTTGAGAACCTTGGGAATGCTGCATTCTATTTGACTAGTGACTTATAAATAATACTAATAATTAATATCAGCTTATGCATCTTTGGTACCTTTCATTGGGCAGCTCAAACATTTCATAGGTGCTGCAGGCTGATGAAACTCTCTGGCGCCCTCTGCCGTTGCTTACACATATCACAGGCAACAGCTTGATCACACACTTCTTTGCTTAAATAGGCTAGGAGGTAACTCAGGTGGGCCCCTTGCCCCCACTCTAGCCTGATCCTCCCAGATAGGCCCCTTTCCTTTGCTCTCTAGCCAGCCCCCTTCTCCCCCCCAGCTAGCACCCTTGTCACCCCCACTCCAGCCATTCTCCTCCTTGCTCCCCCACTTTAGGATCCCCCAACTGGGTCTTTTGATTCCAATTCCAGCTAGCCTCCCTGCTCAGCCAGGCCTCCATTTGTGCATAAAAAGTTGGGATAACACTGAACTCAGACCACATGAGCAATGAAATGTGCAGCCGTCTAAGTATCATCTTTAGGGTTCACAACATACCTCCTGAGGCAGGCATTATTAGTTCCATTTTCCAGACAGGGAAGTGGTGAGGTAACTTGCTCATGGTCACAGAGGGAGTCAGTGGCAGAGCCAGAACAGAACCCTGAGCTCCAGACTCCCAGCCCTTTGCTGTGTCAATCAGAACATGCTTGCTCCTCTGTATAGCACAGCAGCAACAGGATGAGCCCCCCAGATCCTTCCCTGCCAATGTGCCTCAATCCTGACTTGAGAGGACCCAATTCTCCACTGCCCAGCACCCTCTGTAGTAATTTACACTGGTGTAAAGTGAGTGAGTGACAAGTGCTATTAAACAATAATGAGCATGATTCACACCCCGTTTGCACTCACTTTGGTTTTATGTATCAGGGGGTAGCCGTGTTAGTCTGTATCTACAAAAACAACAAGGAGTCTGGTGGCACCTTAAAGACTAACAGATTTATTTGGGCATAAGCTTTCGTGGGTAAAAACCTCACTTCTTCAGATGCATAGAGTGAAAGTTACAGATGCAGGCATTATATACTGACACATGGAGAGCAGGGAGTTACTTCGCAAGTGGAGAACCAGTGTTGACAGGGCCAATTCAATCAGGGTGGATGTAGTCCACTCCCAATAATAGATGAGTGGACTACATCCAGATGAGGAGGTGTCAATTCCAGGAGAGGAAAAGCTGCTTCTGTAATGAGCCAGCCACTCCCAGTCCCTATTCAAGCCCAGATTAATGGTGTTAAATTTGCAAATGAATTTTAGTTCTGCTGTTTCTCTTTGAAGTCTGTTTCTGAAGTTTTTTTGTTCAATGATAGTGACTTTTAAATCTGTAATAGAATGACCAGGGAGATTGAAGTGTTCACTTACTGGCTTATGTATGTTACCATTCCTGATGTCCGATTTGTGTCCATTTATTCTTTTGCGGAGGGACTGTCCGGTTTGGCCAATGTACATGGCAGAAGGGCATTGCTGGCACATGATGGCATATATAACATTAGTGGATGTGCAGGTGAATGAGCCCTTGATGGTGTGGCTGATGTGGTTGGGTCCTCTGATGGTGTCACCAGAGTAGATATGGGGACAGAGTAGGCAACGAGAAACTATATACCACACCACAGAAACACCAACCCAGGAACCAATCCCTGTAGCAAACCTCGTTGCCCTTGCCTCCAGGCACCGCCCCCCGCAGCTCCCATTGGCCAGGAATGGGGAACTGCGGCCAATGGGAGCTTCGGGGGAGGTACCTGGAGGCGTGGCAAGGGCAGCGCACGCGGAGCCCTCTGTCCCCCCGCCCCCAGGGGCCGCAGCGCTTCCTGGAGCGGCGCAGGGCCAGGGACAGGATAGGCATACAGGGAGCCTGCCCTGGCCCCAGTGTGCGCTGCTGCCACCCCGGAGCCGCTTCAGGTAAGCGGCGCCAGGCCGGAGCCTGAACCCCTCCTGCACCCTGCCCCCCAACTCCCTGCCCTAAGTCCCCTGCCTGCACCTTGCACCCCTCCTGCACTCCAACTCCCTGCCCTGAGCCCCCTGCTGCACCCCGCACCCCTCCTGCACATCAACCCCCTTCCCTGAGCCCCCTCATACACTCCACACCCCTCCTCTGCCCCAATCCCTTGCCCTGAGCCCCTTCCTGCACACCGCACCCCCTCCCACACTCCCTCCCGCACCCCAACCCCCGCCCCAGCCCTGCATACAATTTCCCCACTCAGATGTGGTCCTCGGCCCAAAAAGTTTGCCCACCCCTTTTGTAGTCAGATGTCAATATGCACCCTCTTAATTTATAACCACACTGTTTTCTGCAAAGCGCTTCAGCTTGCCACCAAATAGCATTTTACTAACCTACTATAGAGATGGGTGGGAGATCTGGGAGTTTCATTTTGTTGCTGGTTGCCAGATTGGTGTCTCTGTTCTCCTCAAAGATCATGTGTGAATAGGCAGTTGAAAGCAAAATGGAGCAGAGAAATAAAGCAAGGAAGAGGTTCTTATCTTCCATCCTGGGGAGAAAAGAAATTGTGCTTCCATGAACACCAAAATCAGTCACAAATTATAGAGGGTGCGAGGGAAGAGTGGGGAAAAGAGCTTAGAAATGATTTACTGTGGAGTGATACAGGTTCACAGACAAAATAGCCTTCAATTTCACAGTATTGCTGTGTTTAATACCTTCATGGAGTAAAATGTTTGGAAGCGTTAAGTTAAATCATACTATATGTTCTGCAATGAGTTTGCAATCACATAACTGCTGCTGAATTAGGCACATGTCAGAATACAAACAAAATTTCATGCTCTAACTGTGGTGAAAGTCTTGGGGTTGCAAAAGATTTTCTAGTGAAACACAGTAAATTCCCAGAAGAATCTCAGACTTGGAAAACATGCTTATTGTTTGCATTTTAGAGTGGATCGCTTCATATATTTGTTGCATTTTGTTGCTAGTAGAGGAAGACCTAGGATAGTGTTACTGAAATATTGGGTCCAACTAGCTGAGAGCCAATAACAGCCAGACAGGGATAAGGAGGAGTTGCTTTATTCTGCAGAAGAAAGGAGAGCTTTGCACCTTAGTACAAAAACTTTGTTTTACATACATTTTACAGATTTTTTATACACATTTAGACCAAGGTCCTTGCAGTGTTAACACTTGATTGGTGGTGGTTAGACCCGTGCTTTTGCTATCTGGTTAGTGAAAACCGGCTTGGGACCAGCTTCAACTACCTTAAGGCTTTGAAGGGAAAACAGTTGAAAAGTTTAGGCTACTGTGTTTTTAAGGTGTCTGCTTTTCCTTAATGGCCGCTGGCTGACATAACGAATGCTCGGGCTTACTAGTAACTTTTACAGTCCACCCTTCGGGCCTGACAAATTTAAAAATTGTCAGGCTCGTTACGCAATTTGCGATTAAGCTGGAGGGACAGATACTGGGTTTTTTTATGGACAGCAGAGCTTTTGATTATAGCATTACACAGGCATTTGGCACATTGTATTATTATTTAAATAACACACAGGAAGAAAAGAAAGAACAAGATTTATTTAACAATTGTTTGAAAGAGCCCCGTAAACCATGACCCAAGGTCTGGAAGGAGGTTTTTAAAACTAAAGGTGTGATCAAGAGATACAGCATGGAAAACAACAGCAGCATTTTTAATAGCTTGTAAATTCTGCTTAATTAAGCCAGAATGATTAACATAGAAACAACATTTTTTTTTGATGCGAGCACAAGCCCCCCCTAATTGATTCATATGCTTGGAAGGAGCATTGAGAATGTTTGCGCTTCCACCCAGAAAGTTTTTAAGTATGTTTTTATGGCCACAGATTAGATGGTACTCCTGATGTGTCTGTAAGGGCAGTGGGCCAAGCCTGATGCTTTAGATTATTTTGAATGGCCGTTAGCTGGTTATTCAGGAAATCCTGAATTTCTGAACATGCTAGATTTTACTGCAATGCCTTCCCAGACTCAGTGATATTTAATACCATTTTTGTCAGCAACTTTTGGGTTATAGAACTAAGGGCGGAGATAACATGTAACTTACCAATTTTAGCCTGTACCTGGGTTAGCTGTGCCCTAATTTTTTATTATGTTTTGGTTTTTAAAAATATTTTAAACTTTTGCTGCACTATTGGCCCCATCCCAAAGGGATTCGGTTAAGTCTTTTTTTTTTCTTTTTAGAGGAAATAACCCAAGCCCTTTGTTGTGCTAATTTAATGGCAGTCCCCTGTGAGCAATTTGTGTATGTAGAGGTGATTTGGAAACTGGATAAGGGTAATGAAAATTTAACAGTTTTTAGTGTAGTGTTAATTACAGTTTATTGATATTTTAATACATTTTTTTGGTGTAGTACTATACCATATTTTTAAGCATGGGTTTTACAAGTTTTTTTTTGCCAGTGTATAATTTTTTGTTTTTTTACCAGGGTTAGTTTTTAATGTTTTTTGTAGGCAGGAATCCCTGGACTTTGGTGGTTCCAATGGAGCAAGTGTTTTTTTGAAACAGTTATGGTTTAGCATTATACAGGGGAGAGGTTACTAGCACATTACCCTGTAATGGTTTTGCTTTTTTTAGAAAAATTTAAAGCAACAGTAGGTCTGTCAGTGGACAAGGGAGAGGTTACTAGCACTTTACCTTGTATTTTTTTTTTTTTTTTGCTGTCCAGAAGGCACAGCAGAGCTAGAAGGAGAAATAGGCTTATTAGTTGGAGAGCCCTCCCGAGGTGGATGGGTCTTTTTACAATGAGAAGCATGGGTTTAGGTAGGCAGTTTTTTTGTTTGTTTGTTTAAATTGGACCCTTACCCTCCCCTTGGGAGGTTCACTTTCATGATGAGACACTATGCCAGATTCCAGGATGGAGTGAATTTTTAAACCAAAATTAGAAGATTATAATGGAAACATTTACACACTCTTAATTACTGCCGAATGGCAGAAAATGCAACACTGTGATGATGAACTGGGGGAACTTGTTCCAGCCGAGTGAAAGGGGTATTGGGAATTTGTAATTTTTTTGCCTGATTTTAATGATCAATGGGAAGCATGTGGGGCTGATCTGTAATAATTTATGAATACTGTATAGCACCTGGTTATTGGGATAGTTACTGCATGGCTTTATTGGAATGTTTACTGTATGCATCTGTTGGTTTAATTTAATAGCAGTGCAGTTAGGGCAGCGCAATGGTGCCAGTTAAGCAACTTCCCAGTAAACATGTCTGTTAGCTGGGAAGACAGTTTTGCAGGCACCAGCAAAGTTACATGATTTCCTTTTCTGTGGCTGGGTGCCAAAAGATCAATAGGACACTAAACAGTTAAAAAGTGACTCTATAAAGTAAGGCTGTTTGATGAAGCTGATGAAGCAAAAACTGCCTGGGCCACTACTACTGGGTAGTAGGCCTTAAGCCTGGTCCCCACTAACCCCCCACTTCGGACTAAGGTACGCAAATTTAGCTACGTTAATAACGTAGCTGAATTTGAAGTACCTTAGTCCGAACTTACCGCGGGTCCAGACGCTGCAGGAAGGCTCCCCCGTCGATGCCGCGTACTCCTCTCGCTGAGCTGGAGTACCGGCGTCGACGGCAAGCACTTCCGGGATCGATCCCAGAACATCGATTGCCTGCCGCCAGACCCTCCGGTAAGTGTAGACGTACCCTTAGAGTAAGACAGACATATAGAGAGACCTTCTGTTTTAAAATTCTCTCCCCCTTAGCTTATGCTTTGTTCATTCTGTTATATTAAACAATACTGTGTTCTGAGAAAGATGTCTGGTCAGCTGTTTTACCCACTGATCACAAGCTTCTGAAGGCAAGTTGATAAATACAAAGTAATGCACATTGGAAAACATAATCCCAACGATACATACAAAATGAGGGGGCTAAATTAGCTGTTACCACTCAAGAAAGAGATCTTGAAATCATTGTGGATAGTTCTCTGAAAACATCTGCTCAATGTGCGGCAGCAATAAAAAAAAGCTAACGGAATATTAGTAACCATTAGGAAAGGGATTGACAATAAGACAGTAAATATTGTAATGCCACTATATAAAGCCATGGTATACCTACACCTTGAATACTGCGTGCAATTCTGGTTGCCCCATCTCAAACAAGATCCATTAGAATTGGAAAAGGTACAGAGAAGGGCAACAAAAATGATTTGGGTTATGGAACAGCTTCCATATGAGAAGAGTTTAAAAAGACGGGGACTGTTCAGCTTGAACAAGAGGCGACTAAAGGGGGATATGATAGAGGTCTATAAAATCATGAGTAGTGTGAATAAGGATGTGTTATTTATCCCTTCACATAACACAAGAACCAGGGCCCAGGTTTAAAATCAATGAAAGGAAGTACTTCATACAACACACAGTGAACCCGTTGAACTCATTGGCAGGGGATGTTGTGAAGTATAACTGGATTCAAAAGTATAACTGGGTTCAAAACAGAATTAGATTTAGATAAGTTCAATGGCTATTAGCCACGATGGTCAGGGATGCAACTCCATGCTCTGGGTGTCCCTAAACCTCTGAGTGCCAGGTGCTGGGACTGGACGATGGGATGAATCACTCAATAATTGCCTTGTTCTGTTCATTCTCTCTGAAGCATGCAGCATTGGCCACTGTTGGAAGACAGGACACTGGGTTAGATAGACCATTGGTCTCACCCAATATGGCTGTTCTTATGTTCTTATGTAATGAACCCAGTCAGACTTCCTACATAATCTTAATAGATGCATAGTGTACTGTAGCCCAGAGCCTAATCTAAGAATGGGAGAACCATGGGATTCCATCCCAGGGGAAGTGAAGGCCCAAGACCTAACATCTAAGTGCATTCAATGAGACCAGAAGAAGGGACAGAGGAACAGCTAGTTGTATATCTCTGCCAGTCAGACTAAACAGTTTTCCACTTAATGCAAATTAATTTCTCTTCTTTCAACTTGTCTTTTATCTTTGGGGTAAAATGCAGAAGAGGGAAAGAGGAACCGAAGTGGTTGCACGGTCTGCATTAGTGCATGAAAGAGATTGCAAACAGGCCCAGATATACAGGGCCGGCTCTAGGCACCAGCAAAACAAGCTGGTGCTTGGGGCGGCACATTTTTAGGGGCGGCATGGCCAGCGCCAGAATGCCGCCCCTAAAAATGTGCCCCGGCCGCCCTAGCTCACCTCCGCTGCTGCCGCCGCTCGCACACTGCTACTCGCCCTCCCTCCCGGGCTCTCAAGCCCGGGAGGGAGGGGGAGAAGCGGCGCCCGCGCCGCGGCCACTCGGAGTCTCCCCCTCCCTCCCAGGCTCTCAAACCTGGGAGGGAGGGGGAGATCCCGAGCGGCCGCGGTGCGCAAAACAGCCGTTTCGCGCGCCGCTGCCACTCGGAGTCTCCCCCTCCCTCCCAGGCTCTCAAACCTGGGAGG